GACGCAGCAAACTGCGGCGTACGCCGCAGTACGCGGCTGTTTGCCGCGTGCTACGGCGTAGTATGAAGGAACCCTTACTTGAAAATGATCATACCAATCGAACAACCTCGAACTTTCATTCTAGGACCACTTATAGAATTCATATCGCTCCACTAATCACGTTTCAAGCGAGCCGGGCGTATGCCTTCATGTGGTAAGAGATCTTTGGTGCAACTACAAAGCTTGCAACTTATTGATCCCAAATTCTAACTATCCCTCTTTCCTTCTTCTACTGCACATTCAACTTAGTTATATATACAAGGCTGTACATAAAAGTGTATTCACATTTTATTTGCTAGTTTTGAGCTGCAACTTGGTTGACGCGGCTTGTAAGTTTATAATATTTCAATCTCATAAGTTACTGTTTCATCTGGAGCAATGTTCCCGATCCCATATTTGAAGCATTATGCAGAAGCATTGATAAGATATCCATTACATAACTGATACCAGAAGCCTAAACTTGTACCAAAAGTTATTCAAAGAGATGGCAGACTAACCCTCTAAACTGCTGCCAACCGTACCGAGAAGTTGACGAACATCATTCGTCGCAGCTTGTGGCGAGCTTTGTCCAAAGTTTGACGGAACGGGTGATATGGAGGGCGTCAATGATAGTTGAGCAATTGGTACGGATATGTCCACAGGTGAACCGTCCGGACGCACGTGGGTCCGCAAATGGCGGGTGATCATATCGCGTCGGCTCTGAAGTGACAACAGTTACTTGACCTTTCTCAGACGCGACTTTAATTACTTACTGCTGCATATTGACATAATGGGCACTGGTAAGGTTTTTCGCCTGTATGAGTGCGCTGATGCGTGCTGAGGTGATCTGATCGGGAGAATACCTGTCCGCAAAGCTGGCAGCTGTAGGGCTTCAAACCCGTATGAAGTCGCATATGCCTAGAATAACGGCAAAAAATTTCGGAATTGGTAATGTAAGTAGTTCCGCTCGCAAACCTCGTTAACATATCACTCCGCCCAAAACTTTTGTTACAGACGTTGCACTTGTGCGATTTTGCACCATCCGCTTCCGCTAATGCAGAGGCAGACCTAGAATACCGAAGTCAATTAATTAAGAATTGAGCAATTTTCAGTAGTCTACCGATCTCGATGTCGGGATGCAATGTGTTTAGCTAATCGATCATGTAGAGCGAATGCCTGAAACATGTTATAGAAGTTGAAGGAAAGCAGTCCTGCAAGAGCTATGACTAAAAGTGCCTACCTGTCCACAAGTAGCGCAAACAAACGGCCCAGTCGTGAGATTGCGACTGCTCACATCCGATTCGGATCGACTTCGCCTCCATAAGGTCGCTCCCTTCACCGGCCCAGCTCCCATACTTGTTCCGCTCACATCCAAAGTACTCTGTCGTAACAAAGGAGCGCGTGATAGATGGTCAGTGGGCGGTGCTAATAGTTGAGGATTGGGGACCTAGAAGAACATGAGGATGCGCAAAGTTCGTAACATTTGTATTTGTTACGTACTTGAAGTAAGCCGCTGTTCATGGCATTGTTATACATGTTAACCGCTTGGAGTGCGACAATTTGGCGTTCCATCCACATTTGAATTTGGGTTTGCCCACCTAACGCTTGCCGCATAGCGTTCTCTAGCTAAAAAGAAATATCATTCTGATGGCGCTTCCTTTCCCTTGCTTGACAAGGTGCTTACATTTTCTGCAGTGAGTTCAGGTTGAGGAGATGGTGGTGGCTCTTCGATCGTAGGCTGCCGCGATGCTAATCGGCTCACACTACGCAGATCCGAATCATCGATTTCAGACTCCTGTAATGGTGATTGCCTTAATTTAATCATGGATTACCAGATAGTTCTGGAATGGTACAACCGACTGTTTGAGCTTGGTTAGTTGCTCAAGTGAACGCTCAACATACCGTAGCACTTGGCGGTGGACTACTACTGCTACGCTGCTTTCGTGCCAACCGCTCTTCCTGCTCTTCTTGGTACTTTTGGAGAAGCCGCTTTTTATACTGTCCTATTGTTGATAGGCGTCTCGACGTCGCCGCAGGAACCTGCAAAATCCATTATCAGTTGACACTTATGCTGTAATAATCATCCCACCGATATCGTTGACTGAAGCGACGTATCCATTCGCTCTTCTTTGGGTGACATATCACTATCGGATCTACTTCGTTCCCTGTAATTTACAAGATTCAGTTCATAGTGGTAGCTTGATTTGTCAATCAATCCCTACCTCGACTCTTGATCGAGTGTATGCGATTCAGGTACCATAAGATTATGTGCCCTATTCGACATTGAACTGCTGCTTCGTACTTGATCAAAACTAAACGTGTAGAG